AGTTCAAGCTCACCAGCTGCTCCTCGGAAACCCTATACAGGTCACTATGAGTTGAAACTAATTGACTCGATGGCACTTTAGAACAACTATACCTATATATATAGTTAGACACTAAAGACCGAAGACAAGAGTGGTTGTGGGATAAAATCAATAACATCATACAGGAAGAAAGCAAAAGGTCACTAAGAAGACAGGAAAGAAGAAACAGGCCAAGATGGATGGCAGAAGAGACTCTGAGAGAGAGAGAGAGAGCGTGCTGGTGTGGCGCTGTGGGCTAATGTGTCAGACTGCAAAGTCGTCTGAACTTCAAGGTCGGTGGTTCAAGCTCATCAGCTGTTCCTTGGAAATCCTATACAGGGTCGCTATGAGTCGGAATTGACTCGATGGCACTTTACAACAGCAAATATATATATATATATATATATATATATAACAAGACCAACAAACATACCCACACAAATCTCCACACCATAACAAAACCTCCTCTGGGGGAAGCATGCAGATTTTCATGTCAAATTATGAGTCAATACGTATGACCAACTTAACGGTGCATGTGTAATTGTGCATGGACTTTCTCTAAATAGGCCTTAGCTTCCTCACTCAAAATGGGAAAAAGTTAATTTTCATGATGGCGCTATCCTTTAAGCTCTAAATGGGCAGACATTTCACCCAGCATCCTACATCTAATGAAAGAGCATCATCTCTCACTATCAATTTGGTGATCTCAATGCCAAAGTTGTACTCTTTTTGACACATATTACAGGAAATTCTTACAGATAAGAAGATGGCACTGGTGCTCAAAGAATTTTTTTTTTTTTTTTGATGTACTGAAATTAGAAATTGATATCCATCAGGTTATCAATTGATTAAAGATCATTTGAAAAATTAGCCTTAAATTAACCAAGTAGGTTAGGATGAGCTGATGAAACAGGCAAAAAAGCGTTAGAATGGGTCACTTAGACCATGCCTGTATGCTAGTGTTGTTGTTGTTGTTGTTAAGTGCCATCAAGTCGATTCTGACCCATAGTGACCCTGCATAGGATTTCCAAAGAGAAGCTGGTGAGCTTGAACCACCGACCTTGAAGTCCAAACAACTTTGCAGTGTGATGCATTAGCTCACAGCACCACACCAGGACTCTATATATTAGTAGAGATTGTGAATTCATTGGTGTTGGACAAACCGTATCCTTTTTTTTCTCTTTTAAGATTCATGATAGGCTCAAGAAATAACATTTCAAGTCCTGCCTTAACTGTTAATATAATCATTTGTAAAAGAGAGAAGTAACCCTTGAACTGTACTTAATCACAGAGCTCAGTAGGATAAGCACTGGATTGCAAGTCGTAAACTCAAGAGTTCTTGCCCAACAGTTGCTCTGTAGGAGAAAGAAAAGGCTTTCATTTCTCATCTACTACTCCTTTATAAGTTTGTCCTATTGTAGTGGTCCCTCATGCTGGAAAGCATTCAAAATACAGCTGGACAAAACACACCTTCCTCCTCAAAGTAGTTGTTGTTAGGTGCCATCAAGTAGGTGCCGACTTATAACAACCCTATGCACAACAAAACAAAACACTACCTGGTCCTGGTTGTTGTTGTTATGTGCCACGGAGTCGGTTCCGACTCATAGCGACCCTGTATAAGATTTCCAAGGCTGTAAATCTTTACGGGAGCAGAAAGCCTCATCTTTCTCCCGTGGAACAGCTGGTAGTTTCAAACTGCTGACCGTGAGATTAGCAGCCCTATTCGTAACCACTATGCTACCAAAGCTCCTTCTTGGTGCTGGTACCACCCCACAATTGTTGCTACATTTGAGCCCATAGCTGCTTCTACTGTGCCAATCATTCTCATTGGGGTGGTTCTCTTTTTCGCCGAGTCTCCACTTTATCAAACATGATATCCTTCTCCAGGGACTGGTCCCTTCTGATAATATGTGTGAAGTATAAAAGACGAAGTCTGGCCATCCTGGCTTCCAAGGAGCCTTCCTGGCTTTACTTCTTCCAACACAGATCTATTAGTTCTTTTGACATTCCGTGGTACCTTCAGTATACTCCTCCAACACCATAGCTCAATTGCATCAATTCTTCTATGGTCTTCCTTATTCACTGTCCAACTTTCACATGCACATGTGGATAATAAAAATATGCAGGTGTACCTTACTCCTCACACTGACATCCTTGCCCCTGAACACTTTCAACAGGTCTTGTGCAGCAGATTTGCCTAATGTCATTCGACTTTGGTTTCTTGACTCCTGCTTCCATGAGTGTTGACAGTTGATCCGGAACAAAATGAAGTCTTTGACTACTTTACTCTTTTCTCCATTTATATGGATGTTGTTAATTGGTCCAGTGGTGAGGAGTTTTGTTTTCTTTGCATTGAGATGCAGCCCATACTGAAGGTTGTGGTCCTTGATGTTCATAAGTAAGTATATTAAGTCTTCTTCGTTTTCAGCAAGCAAGGTTGTATCATCTGCATATTACAAGTTGTTAATGAGTCTTCTTCCCATCCTGATGTCATGTTTACAAAAAAAATAAAATAAAATAAATAGAATGACTGAAGATCAAAATCCTGCA